GTGTTTAAAGTCTACTTAATACAAACATGCTAAAAGTGGATAATAGCAACACAGTCTAATGAAGAAAAATGATTCAATTTCATGCTGGTTTGTTGTAATAACTTCTTTACCATTTTCACTCATTACTTTCGACTTGATGTTGATCATGGCAGATCTTGTTTGATGCACTGTTCTCTCTTCTGAACTGATGTGATTTGTGCACATTGTGAAATGTAAGTGAGCCTGACAGGGCTCCCTTTTGGCTACACCTGAGCTATATATATAGCTGTTGTTACAGAGGACGGGGTCACAAGATTGACAATATTGGCATGGCTTCATATGAGGTGAAAAGGTTTGAAACCAGTCAATTAGGATTAGAATCAGTACTTCTATGGGTTTCTATAAAAGGATTAGAGAACAAGTATGAGCCAGAAATGACTGTGTCAAGAAATAAATTGATGATAATATGAATTAAAGGGAAAAATGACAGAAGAATGGACAAGTTTATTCTAGAGGAGAGTGTAATGACAGGGTGAAAGAGTGAATGTTTTGCAATGTGAAGTTTTCATTTTTCAGTTTAAATGCAGGCCTTTTTGATTTCACTACAGAAATGTGAATAGGAGGGAAAAGTCAAACCCTGGAGATATATAAAACGCTGTCAGGGAGCTGCAGAGAAAAATTATATTTTAATAGTCTGATTATGTTAAAAAGATCACATGTAAGAAATGAGACAGAAGGTCAAATTTGGAAAATAAGGAAAAATAGTGGCCTATAGAACCATTTTCATCCGAAGGAAGTTGTTTTTATACTGTTTTCCTAGTCTTTACTCATTTTATTTTTTTTCAAATGTCAGTTGCTAAAAAACCTCTGATCCTGACTAAGACCAACTGCTGTGTCAAAGTAAAGTTCAAACAAATATTTCTGGGTGTGGAAGCTGATAGAGGCAAGCACAGAGGCAAACAGTGGATAGCTCTGTTCAACAGAATATGACTATGGCTATATGCTTCTGATAGTTATTTTACTCATGTGCACTTAATCTCTCATCAGTTGATGCCTCCCAGCTGAATGCATCAACTGTGGCTCATTGAAATATATTGTGTATGCAAAACTGGGCGATCTGAAAATTATATTTGTGGTAGTTAATACAGAATAGTTCATTCACACATATTGTTAACTTGAGTGTCAAACAAGATAGAGTGCATGAACCCTGATACTAGATACAGATAACCACATGCCTAAAATGTTACATTCTCTCCTTCCCGTCCCACCTGGATCTGTTTTCCAGTGGATGCTGGTCCATTCGAGTGAATGGAGCATTTGTCCCACCAACCCCAGTCTGCAGCCAGCCAGTCCCCACCTGCCACTTGCATTGCCAGTCCCCATCAGCACTAACCACCACTGCTTTTGTCCACTGACATACCTGCAGAGGTGGGAAAGCAGTTGTGGTCCTTGGAGACTGATGGATTTGTTTTACATTTTAAAGATAAAAATTACTCACATTTCTTCTGACCCCAGATAATGCTGTTTTACCAGCCAGAGAGAGATGTAGCTAGGGTCCCATTTAATCATGTTGCCTTGGATAGATTTCAGCAGCAGATAAATCTGCACAGCCTGATGACACACAAAACAATTCTTGGAGGTTTGAGAACTACAACCTGTCCTAGAAAACCCTACCCTTCGTGGTTATTTTAAAAATTAATCTGTCAGGTAGTACTCACCACATGAACCTCAGAAGTAGTTAATGCTTTTTTGAGTGTAGTGCCCACTACCCTCAAAGAGGAAGCAGTTAGACTCAGTGGTGGTCTGCTGGGCAGTGGCACTCACCTGACTTCCTGCTGCTTGTGTTGCTACTCCAGGAGCTAGAGGGGAAGGGGCAAAGTGGCAGTGTAATCGAAGCAGTGCAAACACACCGGTGGAAGCACTGAATTGGTTCCACCAAAGTACTTGCAAACCACCTCCCCACTCCATTCAGTTTCCCAACAAGAAGCAGTGACACAGGCTACAGGTCTGGTGAGCCTTATCCTGCTGACTGCTACTGGTTAGACCCATGCTTAAAAAGCAAACAAATTTTGGACAACTATTGGCCATTGTCTGGTTTCTGATCTGGTAGAGAAACAACCTTATTGACCTGGTGGCTACGTTACCTTGGGAATGGGTGTGGGTTGTGTGGCTCTGTTAGTTCTCCTCTAAAGACCTGGCTGTTTGCATCCACTTTGAAATGATTAATTAAAGACTGGTCTGGGCTTTTAACTTAACTGCTGCTATTATTTTATTTTTATTTTTAAAGACTGAATTGTTATTGTTAAATTTGTATTTTATACTTTTGAGAGTACAGCACCTTGAGAGTGCTGTATGACCTGAAAGGCCATGTAAAAATACTTCAAGCAAACAAAAAGATTAAGGTGGGGTCAGAACCATAAGGTTCAAAATATGGTAAACATTGCAACATAGTGTGGTGGCTGCTTAGAAAACTATGAAATATAATGTTGCATAAGCTTCTGCAACAGGAACCTTATTGCTTTTGTAGCAGCACATTCTGCAGTAAGTGTATTGCTGCATTGCTTTCTGAGGCTACAGTTCATCCAGGGAAACCTCAGAACGTTCTCAATGAGCACAGATCAGTTTATTACAGATATTCTCAAGGAATGCTTGGAAAGACGTTACTTATTTACTCTTGCCCCTACTGCGGCAAGCATGCCGTCTGATGAAAGGTCTTTCCTGTTTTGAAATATGTGCCAATTGCCTCCCCTTAAGTATTATATAGAAAGTCTTTTTCATCAGTGCCGTGCGACGGTGCCTCTAGTCTCCTTTCACAAGCTCATCTGTTTGAAATATTGGTCCCTTACACATGTCTTGAACTTTGTGACTTCTCCATGATGTCTGTCACTATAGTATTGATTTCTCCCTGTTTCTCCTCCTTTAAAACTGTCAGTAGAGTCCTCTACAATAGGGAAGGTTTGCTGGTTAGCAATTTCATTGCTTTTACAGTATGGAGAAGATGTATATGTTTTGATTTGAAAACAGGCTTCTGAGAAAGTTTGAGTCATTTTAAAAGAAGATTGTGGAACACACATTCACACACTATTATCATGCTCTCTAGAACATCTTTCGCTTCTGTTGTGAGAGATTTATTAAGCTGCCAGATCTAACTCCCATGTTTATTGTCTGCTTCCTATGGACAATTTATTGTTCAGAAAAAAGCATGTGATATAGGCGTCCCAGGATGGTGTATTTTGAATTCACTTTCATGCAAAAATCTCATTGCATTTGGAAAGCTAGTGCATTGGGGCAGGCTTTCTATCAAGTACTTCCTAAGCAAAGGTACCCTCTTTTAGTTCACATTCTTGTGCTGTTTACTTGTTTTTGTTCTTCAGGGTATTTCTGTATGTTTCACTGTTACCTTGATCTTATGAATCTGTACCAGGCTATTGGAACTTGTTTGTTTTCTGTTTGACCATGGCCTAGTTCAGATATCATGCAAGGAAAAACCAGGGTTTAAAAGGAATGTGTGAGCCTGTGGGCTCCTAGTGAGGCAATCACATATGCTTTCCTCATTTTGCTGCTGTACCATGCTGAACAATGCCATTGCTTAACACATTCCAAAACTGAAACTCTGTAAGGGATGGACTCTTAAGGTAAAGGTAAAGGGATCCGTGACCATTAAGTCCAGTTGTGGCCGACTCTGAGGTTGCGGTGCTCATCTCGCTTTATTGGCCGAGGGAGCCGGCGTACAGCTTCCGGGTCATGTGGTCAGCATGACTAAGCTGCTTCTGGTGAACCAGAGCAGCGCATGGAAACGCCGTTTACCTTCCCGCTGGAGCGGTACCGATTTATCTACTTGCACTTTGATGAGCTTCCGAACTGCTAGGTTGGCAGGAGCAGGGACTGAGCAATGGGAGCTCACCCCGTCGCGGGGATTCAAACTGCTGACCTTCTGATCGGCAAGTCCTAGACCCTGTGGTTTAACCCACAGCGCCACCCGTGTCCCTGGACTCTTACTCAAGAACAAATAAATAACCAAGGCCTGCTGATATATGCCTTCATCACAAAAAGCAAGCACAAATTGGGGCAGCTGTTAAGTTGAATCTGCTGTCCCCTAAGCCCAGTGATCTACCTTAGAGCTTCTCAGTGTAACCTGAAATGCAGTCACAGACAGAAGGCAATGCCCAAACAAAAAAGGCACAGCCTGAGGGAACTGGCCAGGAGCCCATTTGACCAAAAAGCCTCCTAAAATTCTAGCAGCATTGCACCTTATTTTTTATTCCTCAGTCAAACTAAATAAACTAAAACTTTTTTTCAAATTGATGTCTAAACATTACTTTAAAAATACTAACTTTAAAAATGAGATTAAAAATACAATTTATTTGCTGTAATGATAACTGGGCATTTACAAATATACTGTCAATTTTCATGATCTTTATCTTTAATCATATAATGAGCTAACCCAAGTTGACCAAAACAGATTGTTTCTTCTAGTGAATGAGACAGCGCTTACCGGGTGTGAGCAAAAGGTAGTGAAAGTAGCTCAGACAATGACAGAGCCAGAAGCAGGCACAAGAAAAAGACTGGAATGGATCTGCAGTAGGCAGAGGCTGAAGATCCATTCCAGCAGTTCCCCCCTGCCGGCCCTCTATCTGTTTCCTTCCGCCTCCCTTTTTCTTAAAAAATTGGGTGTGCCCGGACAAGGCCATGGTAACAGGGATAGTTGGCCTATCACTAATTTAAATCAATCCAAGCACTCTGAGTAGGTATGCAAGCTGCTCTAGGGACAAGTGTGGATTACTGATGTGCAACTTGAGTCACCTGGGTATATGCTACAGTTGTCTGTATTATTTATCCTGTAGGTTTCCCTGGCACCTTGTGTTTACACTCTGATCTGAGAAACATGGACTAAGTAATATGTTAGGTGTTGGACAAGGCACTGAGGAGGATGGCTTTGTTACTCTTTCTCTAACTCCTTCATTCCTTGGTGATACCTCTGAAGATTTGTGATTTACACAAGGGCATCTTTTCTCTTCTAGGCTCTCCTTACTATTACAGTGCTGCGGCCCGAGGAGCAGCACCTCCAGCAGCCGCTGCGGCTTATGACCGCCACTGACACATGGAACCAAGAAGCACTTATTAAACACATTATGCCGGATGACACAACTGGAACCACCTAGCATGCAACTGCAGAAATCGGACTACAAGGATGGATAAGAGAAATTACCCCGCATGAACCCATGCAACAATTGGAATGTTATTCTTTCAGCTAGGTGAACCACTTATTACTGCTTTTAAACATTGAAATTCTAGTGACCTTAACTGAATCTCCCATAAAAAAACCAGAGCAAACAAAGAATCAGTTTCGCTGACATTCCCTGTGGTTTGCAAGATGCAGTAGCCATGTGATACGCACAGTCTTCTTGCTTCTGGACTAACTAGCTGGTTCTCTGGTTCTCCTGACCATGTCAGGGGAACCAAAGCAGTTCTAAATGTTGAGCAGTCCTCCACTGAATGTCTCTCTTTAATGTGCGTTGTAACAGGATGCGTGATTCAACAGGGACTGTATGGGCTGAAGTTTATTCTAGGGAGAGGGCATTAAGGGGGAAAAAATGGTCTGCTCAAATGACAAAGCACCAATGTAAATAACTTACTTCTTTGTGTTACTATGGAGTGGTATAGCATAAACAGCAACAAGGGACAAATGAGGAGTTTAAAATACAGTGGGAAAATGTGTTTTGATACTGGTGCACTGACTCCAAGAATTCAGTAAGCTTTAAACCAACTTTGAACCAGGTTAACATTCATTGTGGCTATTTCTGGGGCTGCTGTTCTTTCTTGATACATAATTCAAATCTGATGGTCATGTGGGCATATATGCACCATATGTTGGCATTGAACATGTGAGCAAATGACAGACATGGGCAATCAGTGACATTTTCACTGCTGAATATTAATTTATGCTTATTTGCAGTCACTATTAGCAAAGTTACACACACACTGGCTGTAGCTTTAGCTAAATGTTACAGAAGAGGTTCCATGTAACGAAAGCCTTATGTATATTGCAATTGCAGAAATTTAAGGTGGTACTTTTTCCAAACTGCTTAAACAGTGGTAACTGGGAGCCACTATGAAAGCTACACTAAAGTTCCCTTCACATTAATAAAGGGGCAGTGGTCCAAGGTTGCTCAGCTCCCTGACCCAAATGTCTAGGTGTTGAGTTGGGATGGAAGGATCTGTTAGTTTGGGTTTTCTCAATTTCTCCAATATTAAATTTAGTCCTCCACATTTTGCAGCAATTTTCCCCCCTCAAAAAAAACCCCAAACTTGTAAAAATTCATTATTTTACTGTGGATTTCATATTTTTATATGCAGTTTTGACTAATACACAGTTTGCAAGCAATTTTCTGTATATTATTGTCACTAATAGATTCATTTTTATTCACACGTCCCTCTAAAATGCACTTTTGTAAACGCTGATTGAAGAACTACACCACAAAATTCAGATTAGTGCAAATTTCTAAGAATAGCTATGTTTTGGTTTACCTATTGTTTCGGAAACAGCAAATTTGATAGGTTCAGCTGTAAATGCACAATAAATCAAATTTCCTCCTGTGTGTAAACATCTTAAGGTAACTAGAACTCATGGAGGTTACAGACCTCTACTGGAGCCCCTTTTACATTAATTAATTAATCATTTTATTGTATGCCACCTTTCCATAGTTAAAACCATGCTCAAGGCGGCTTACATGAAAAAGTACACAATTACAAACATAACAAAAGTAGCCATAAACAATAAATAAAATAAATCAAAAAGTAAACAACCAAATTGAACATTTTCCACATACCTGTAAAAAGATATAAAAATAAAGATTAAAAAATTAATATCAACAACAACCCCTCTCTCAACAAAACCCTAGTGCAAGTCTGTTCCTCTCGCCTGGCCCCTCTGCACTCTGGATCTGCTTATTTCTTAAGAACTTAGAAAACTACCTTCCATCACCATCAGGCCACTGGTTCCTTTTGCTCACTACTGTATACACTGGCAGCAGTCTTCCGGGGAGCCTTTGTATATCCACCCTGGAAATGTGACATATTTACCTCAAGAACTTAGGACCATTTGCACATGTGCTCTTCTACTGAGCTATGCTCCTTCCTCAAACACTCTTACAAAATTTCTAAAGCTTGATAAAAATAGTTATGATCTCTGATAGGGAAGAAGGACTGGTTAAGCCTCTTAATCACTTAGGTTTACTGCTTTTGACTGCTGCAAGTTCTACCACTGTGCACAAATCGAATGTTGTGGCAGTGTTGGCTGTTCTTAGCAACTGTGCTTGACATGTGCACCATTATCCTTTTCTACAGAAAACTGCACAACTTAAGGGGCAGAGCCAATATTGTGACCATACTACTGATCCTTTAATCATTTGAATCTCTTCATGAGTATAACACATTGTGACACCCCCAGGGTCCATCACAAGGTTTCTCCCCAGGTTATCATTAAAGGTCAGTCCCTCGGCTACTCCACTTAGTCCTGACCTCTCTCAAACATATCGGTTACCATGACCTACCGACTTAGACAGCAGAAGGACTCTTCTCCATCACCCAAGGCACGATAGGCAGCGGGCAAGAGGCATAGTTTATGTTAGAATCTACCCAGACCAGAATTCATCCTTTCAAGTTCTGAAGCTTGAACTTTTATTTAATTGAGGAACCCATCCCAAGTAGTGCAGGCAAGTAACATCTACACAGTTGTAATTCTAATGTCCTGCCTAAGTGTGTCTGCTCTAGAGTCTCTACAACTATCCTCTCTCTCTTATAAATGTATTTCATTGTATCCTTCCTCTCACTGTCTGTCTCATCTTCCTCTAATCCACCAATTGACCTTCCCATCTGGCACTCCTTCCCTCTCTTAGCATTCCACTCCCCTTACTGTCAACCAGACTCCCTTTCGGACTTCGGTTACACGTGTGAATGAGGTTTACAGCATTCTGCTTTCTAAAACTAGGCTGTGACGGAAGTCATGTCATTAGGGGATGCCTAAATTGCTCACATTTCTCAAGGCACCTTGGAAACAACACAGCATACAGTGAAAAAATAAAATCATCTGAAGCTGCCATAATTTCACTAGGAAGGCATTTACACCATGAAGTGTGTAGATTCTCATCTTCAACACTGCCCCCCAAAGGAACTAATAGTTCTTTGACATTTTATTTAATGTTCCTTGCATCCCAATCCATACAGAATGAAGTTTACAAATGGTGGAAAAGATGGGCATCAATCAACTGTGGTGCCATAAAATTCCCTCAACTCAAAAAACAGTCATTTTATTCCTCTTTAAAAAATAAATAAATATGACCCAGTGATGGCCCGTCTAAAGAAAGGAAAATTACAAGGGAAGAAATAGCTCCTTTTTCACAGAAGCCAATGGAATAAATGTTGAATGGTGTTAGTGAATGTTTCATGTGGCTGGCTGACGTGTGTTGTTTCTGTACAAATATTTCAATTTCTTTGTTTTGTTTTTGCATCAGTTAGGCAATCTTATATCCGCTTCCCTGGGAGAAAGCCCTATTCAATACAATGGGATCTCCTTCTGTTTGAGTAGACCTGTAAGTGATGCTCAGCACCACATGCTTTTGCACTGCTTCTCAGGCAATCCATCACTTTCAAGAACAGCAGCTCCGAGTCCTGTTTTAAGATGAAATGTGATGTCTGACTGGATTCCTGGGGCCTTGCTGACTATCTAAAATGTGTCGGGGGGAGAACTTCACAGGGAGTTAAGTTCTTAGCCCTTCCCACACCCACTAGGTTTTTCCTGATTTGCCCTCCTTCTGCCACCTTTCCCCAGTCAAAGTTCCAGGTGTTAGCTGTGGCTATGAGAAATATTATTATTGGAGAGAAGTGCAGTAGAGAGATAATGGATGAACGATTAAGCATCCCCCTCACCCACCTGCTGTGCTCTTCTTCAAATCAGACCCTCCCACTACTGCTCTTTACATGTTTGCCAGACCGGTTTCTCCACTGAAACTCTGTCCCTTAGCCTGTAAAATTGCAACTCCCTTTTGCATCTTTCGCTTCAAATAAGCTATTGAAGAAAAACTTCATTTTCTGTTGATCATATCAGAATTTCTTATTTCAACATTTTGATGTAAAAAATGCTACTTGGTAATACAAACTAAATATACAGTACACAGATAACCAGTAGATTAACTTCAGGCCCTCCAGGAGTTCACAAGAACGGTGCAGAACTGTGAGATGGATGAGATTTTGTGTAATGCCTTCTAGTCCCAAAGAGGACCTCTGGGATATGTTCCAGAGGTAGGCATGCCAACAAAAGCCATATCTCATGCATTTCCCATATTCTATTTGCTGTCTAATAAGATGCATGTATAAAACTTTCATCGTCCAATTCCTTATTTCCATTATAGATTGCTATTGGTCCCTGTTTTAGAACTATAATATATGAAAGGGAATATATTTACAGTAACAAAATTAAAGAGGCCTTAGTATAAAAAGCACACACATTTTAATAAAAGTCTAACTGCATAATACTAGTGACATTTTCAGTATCAAAAGCCTGCATGGAAATTATGCTCATTGCTAGCTGGAATGAAAATTGATTTACAAACCTACGTGTGACCATTCAGTTTCATAGCTCAAGAGAAACACATTTTGGCTTAACTTTCAATGTGTTTCGATGAAAGCAAGGAGAGGGTTGAAAATAAGAGTTTCATCTGTAACTGAAGGGGAAATTATTTTTCCTGATTTCTAAGAATATTTCAAAAAATTAAGAAGTGGTACATCAAATGTTAGCTTTTACTACCAGAAACAACTGGGTGCTATTTTAAAAGTCAATGTTTCTCCATACTTCATATTTGTTGGCACCATTGTAAGCCTTTATTTGTGAAAAATTATAGTATTTTTTATCTGGGGGTAAATTCAGGAACAAAACACAGTTCAGTTGAACTGGGCAGTCAGTATATAAGCTTAAAAAGTTCTCTTAACCTGTGCTTTAAAAAAAAGATAAAATGGAGGGGAGGGGGAGTGTGAACAGGTAATCTGGAATTTTAGCACATGAAGAACTCTAGCCAACTACTCTTTATTTCTAGTTAAATTGAACAATTCAAACTGTATGACCAGAGGAGTTATACAAAATTTGGTTTATCTTTATACCAAGTATGCTGCAATAAGCTTTAAGAAATTGCTTTTCTAGACACAGTTCATTGCGACCTTCTGTATGAATGAGACTGCAATCCTACACCCACTTCCCAGGGAGCAAGGGCCATTGAACCTAATGAGACCTACTTCTGAGCTGGGGCTTGCTCCCTACTGTGGGTGCCCAGGGCCATGGGTGCCATGCAGCTTGGCCCTGGTGCTGAAATTTGTGGGTGCCCACCCCCTTCATGGGGAATTTTGTGGGTGCTCAGGCACCCAGGGAGCTGGCACCTATGCTTCTGAGTAGGCATGTAGAGGATTGCATTGTGAAACTTACACAAATTCCAGGTAGGCTGTGGCCACAATTTTGGAGGGTTGTGGGTGCCCTTCGACTATGTACAGAGGGGTCAAAGCAAGGCTCAGATTGCTGCAAACTCTTGCTTCCCACCTGCACCTTTGGTCTTACTGAAATAAAAAACTGACCAAGCAGTCCCCTTTGTGCCAGTCTTCTGTGTGTAGGTAGATTTGATTCTCCATGGCATTCTCAGCGGACACAAACAATGTACAGTCTGCAAATGTGAAAAACAACACTATGATATTTACAGGAAAGGCAGGAATTTTAACATGGGGTGGAATGGCCTAGTTCTGCTGGCTTCACACTAAAAAAAACCATCCATTAGATCTTATCCACATTTTCCATTTGCCCTGCTCTTAGTCTGCGCTTTAATGCTGTGTGACTGAGATGCTTTCCCTGCAAAAACCCTGCTCTTTAAAGCAGAATCTGAGCAAATGGCAATTTAAACCTCTGATTCAACTTTGAAGAGCAGGTGTTCCTAGGAAAGGTGTTAGAACAAAAAAGGGGGGTGCTTTAACCAATTTCTAGCCCAAATTGGTTACTTTGAAACTATGGTTTAACAGTGAAGGCAATGTTCTTGCAACAGGCTCTCACGTCCGCTTTTTAGTGCCATACTAAATAGTTAAGGTGTCCATAACTCACAAAGACAGCCACTCCTCAAGATAGCAAACCAAGAACCTTTTCTTCCTCTACCACAAATGTGTGGCTTCTGAGGGTCAGCTGAGGTAAGCTTTTATTCTTCCTAGGTGCAGGCAGCCAAACACACCCTCACTTATTCTGTGTGGCAATGTTAAAAGGCTTTTGACTTGCTGAGTATTTGATGTTGCCATACATACTTTGCGCGTTGATGGGGCAAAGCAGGATAAGGAGCATTCAAGCATTATCTGATTTGGCATGGTGCCCCAACACAACCAGGAGCTTTTCAACAGCTTGCGGTAGATTAGGAAGACCTTTATATATGCAGCCTTTGAAAATTCCACACTACTGGTTCTGCTGTCACCTATTGTCTAGGTTCTAGTCCCTCACAAGTACAGGAGCAGAGCTTATGAGAAAATCAGGGTGAACACGCTGGAGGGAATATTCAGCAAGAGCAGCCTGCAGCTCCGTTCCCATTCAGAGATGCATTGTACACTGCAATTTGTAAGGTTACCATTGATATACATGTACTTGGGGAACGAATATGCACCTCCACCCTTAATTCTAAGTCTACAATGTCCACTGGGCTTTATGAAAAAACAATTATTCATTACATCCCCACAACACATATTTAAATGATACTGATTTTTTTTAAAAAAACTTGTCATCATGCCCATGCAACATTCATTTTATGTTTCCTCACAGCCAGTTTAGACAATCATATTTATTAATATATGATAAAATCAGCAATGTAAGATAACACAATGAGGACAGATGAACCACCACATTTACAGCTCGTTCAACCCTTTGCCTCTCTTGCAACATAGCAGGACAACAAATAAGCATTCATTTGCATATATATTTGACAGATTCCTAGGATCTAACCTTTTTCAGATATTAAGACTTGCAGGGAGCAGATGTACGTGTATGCATAAGAGCCAACTCCTAAGGGCCATGCGGACTTCAGCTCCCACAATAAAATAATTTGTGGTTGAGGCATACATTCATTGCCCCAACCATGTACACAAAATTCCCAAGTAAACAAGCGTGTGGACCAGCCCACAACAGTCTATTATTCTGTCAATAGAAGCAAGTTTATTGAGGGGAAAATATTATCAGTTGCTAACTATCAGGTCAACAGGTACTCTTGAGATCCAATTCAAGCTTTACCTTTCCAGTTTGAAAGTTGTCTCAGCATGGTCTGTTCCCCCACAGTTCTATTATGTGTGAAACACTATGGGACAGCAGGGGCTAAAATGGTTGCCTCCAGTGCTACAGATACTGATATCAGGGCGGCCAGTTCACAACTCAGAATGCCTTGAAGGTTGCTTTTTGCTGGGTGTGAAGGAGGAAAGGCACTCTCCTCTCTATTATAAATGCCATCATGAAAAGTCCTCACTTCTGGCACTGGGCACTGAAAGGGGGGGGGGGAGGAGGGATGACTTGGCAGTTGGCTGAGGGTGCTGTCACCTTGTGTGAGCTGTGCAAAATGTGATGGCGGTGGACTGTATCGTGCCCTATGGATCATAGTATTCACCTATGAACTAGACAATGCTGAAGCCGTTTCCATGCTGCAAAAGTAATGCTGTAATTACAGTCTTTTCGACTGCTGAAAAGGCCTTAGGAACTTTTTCATCCAAAGGGGTAGCTGTGTTAGCTGTTAGCAAAAACAACAGAGTCTTGTGGTACTTTACAAACTAGCTAATTTATTAAAGCACAAGCTTTCATGGACTAGAATCAACAAAAGCTTATGCCCACAATATATTTATTTGCTCTTGAGGCGCCACAAGGGTCTTTTGTTGTTTTATCTAGCAATTCTACACTCACATTAGTGAAGATTGGTCAATATATATCAACTAAAGATCCAGAAAACGTTTGGGGTTTTAGTAGAAGTCCTGCATCCACTGCCTTAACGGTGGAAAAGAGAACATATATTTCTCTTCTTCTAGAGATACTTTGCAGGTGGCTTAGCACTCAGTGCCCTTCTGTGTATACTCTGCAAGGGGCAGTAGTGTCCCAAGCTTAGCCAGAATATTATTAAAGGAGTCCTATTGTTTATGGAAGGAAAGTTGGTGGCAAATATCTCCAGTCCTGAAACTGCTTACTCTGAGAGAGTCCCTCCAGCTTTAACTGGGAAGTACATGGTTTGATAGTGAAACCAATCATTTACATCTGTTGAATATTGATCGGTCACTCTCAAAAGATCTGGAGGTGTGACTCTCTTTTGATAAGCCCTAAAAAGAGTGGATGCTTATCTGAAGCATCTCCAGTTCTTTTGAGGTTTAACTTTTCTATACCCTTTCCCGACCTCAAAGCTCTTTCCAGTGGAGCTACATTAAATATATTATTTCTCAGAGAGAAAAATGTATACTTTATATAATGTATCTTTATACGATCATATTTTTACAGCTTCTCTAGAAGATTTTAACCAGGATAGGACTCCTTTATTAAAAAATATTGGCAGATTTCTAGTTGAATAAACTTCGTATGTAGAAAACTGAATTTGATAAACTTTATGAAGTTTTAGAATTTGAAGTTTCAATTCCTTCTGGAGTGTTCTGTTGTCAGTATTATACATATATATAATTAATTTTCAATATTAAATTGGTTAAAATTTTTAGACTTTATGTTCTGAACAAAAGTTGGCTTTTGGGACATGGGGGTAGTAGACAAAGGAAATTAAATTAAATTTCTAGTTTTTCAATAGTAAAGTGACTTGTATCACTTTATCTGTTTCTAAGGTCTCTGAATGTATGGCGATTCCCTGATTTTAGCCTACCCCAAACCAGCAGGAAGTATTTCAAATATCTCCACTAAAATTAACTGTGCTGAATAAAGGGGTCCACAGACCATATCTGTGGACCTGCCTGACAATGTACTTTCTCTTTTATGGTCTGATATTTACTCCATCATATTTCCATTTTCCTTGGAATTGAAACAGGGAGGAAGCTCATAAATGAAACCACACATTTTTTTTCCAGCTCAGGCTGCAACTATTGTATTTATGAATGTGGCAAGCTAAACTTTCTGAGTAATCAATAATTGCTACACTGTATATACCAGAATACACCTGAAGAGTGTGTGTGTGTGTGTGTGTGTGTGTAAAATCTGGTTCCATCCTACATGCTATCATTTTATGACTGGTGTCAACATGACAATGCCAAACAAAATACACCATGCAAGGCACAGTACCAGAAATATCATTAATATCGGATAGCTTAATTAATCTTTATTACAGTCAAAGACTAGACAACAGAAATAACAATAATAACAGCACCAAGGGACAGAAGCAGTAGACGCAATCAAAAGTTTCATATATACTTATTTACATTAAAAGTAGCACTCCATAAGTCTATGATGCAGAGTCTAAAATCAGTATTCATCAGCTAGCTTGGCTGTCAGATCATGTGACCATCTTTACATGCTGGACAGCATCCAGACTTGGTTTCTGAAGAGAAAAGCTACTTCCATCCATGGGAGGCTTCTGATTCAGCAGAGGAATCCCACCAATGGAAAAGCAATTCCAGAATATGGTTTTGCTGGTTCTCCCTTCCCCTGCAGTCCCCTTTGCCGCCTCAGATCTACTCTGGAAGGTTGGAGGACTCTCTGGAACAGCCTGAGAGATGACACTGAAATGGCAGGGGGAAGGGAAAACTGGCCAAAAACAAATGCCTCTCATCTCTTCCGCTGGCAAGAACATCCTGAGTGAAACCTGGTTCAGTGGATGCCACCACTGGTGGGAGAAAACCCTGGATCCAACCCATTGTCCCTCTTTCAATATCACTGTGTACTCTATGTTTCAATATAACAGCCAAGACATTTGTTGGCCAATGTTTGCATCTTCGTGTGGATGCGTACACATCCCTATTGGAATTGGTCCAAAGTCCATTACAATCCTGGATTTTCCGACGTGTTTGTGAGGTCTGCAATTACACTGCCAGTCTTTGAGATTTTTTTCACCCTGCCTTGCAAGGCAAACTTAAGTCAGGTGGGCACTTGCATGCACATCATTTTTTTTTTACTCCTTGTTTTTGTATTGGGAGGTAATTATTGTCCTGCTGCAAAGTAGCTTTAAGTCTATCTCCAAACAATTCACAGAGGTAATTCACCTCTGAAAGAGACTCTATGAGGGAGGTCATGGAAAGCCTAAGTGTAATGTGGAGGTCCGAAGTGGTACATAAGGGGTCCCTGAGTGCTCGGTTGTGTCCAATGTGATGCTAAAACCATTTCCGTTTTCAACAACAGATGCCTATGCCATATCACAATTAGCTTTTGAAAGTCCCCCTTCATTTCAAAAGTGACTTGCCATAAAACACTGGAGGCTGCTACCTGAGAAACACAAGCCCAAAGCCTTCTTGGGGGCATGGAACTAGTTGCGCTGTGCTTTGGATCCTGGCCAATGTAAACAGCTGGCAACTAATAAAGAATAAACATAATTCTCCACTGGAACGAATCCTGCAAAAACCATAATGCATGAACAAACCTCTTCTTTCTTTTGTTTTGCTCAGACCTGTATTGGAAAAGACACTGTCCTGGTCTGTCACTTTCTAGTGGCCTTTAAAAACACAGAAACATGTTACATTGCAAATGGATTCCTTTCTGAGTGAATGCTAAAATTTTTTCAAAGACAAACTCCCTTTATGAAGGGTATCCAGCATCAAAGAAATAAATGTCGATTGTATTCACCAAAGTCTCTGATGGCTGTTTAGAAGCTTACTTTTGAAAACCAACAAAATAGACAAAACAAATAAAAAAACATAAAAATACAATTGAATTGCCTTTGAACGTAGGAGATGACTGTCTCCACACAGATAAAATTGCTTCTTAAAATGTGTATGTTTTGTATTCTTTTTTTCTAGTAGGAAAAGAACTGACTTGAAATCTTGGTGTTTTTTTCTTAGTGTTGTGTGTTGCTTTTGTGTGTAATAATATTTGAATGTAATGACAGCAGTGCCAATTTGCCAAAGATGTCGAACACTTTGTTTTGTTTAATTTTGTTTTGGGTTTTGGGATGTTTTTGTTTGATTTTTTTTTAGCTGGGTGGGTGTTTAAGGTGTGGGTCAAAGGGAGGGGTGTTTGGGGAATAAGTTGATTTCTTTTTGCTTTTGTTCTCAATTTTCTTGTCAATACTGGACTGTGATTTTTATTCTAAGTTAAATGGTTGACTGCAAACATTTTATTTTAGATTAGTTGAAGAAACATGCAATAAGATTGGCGTAGTTTCAATATCTGTGTGTCTTTTCATGAGAGTGACTGTTACTTGTGGACATTTTGATTTTATGTAACCTTTATGTGAGATAATTATTTGTAAATATTTACCATAATTTTATTGGTTCCAAAAATAAAAATAATTTTTTTAAGTTCAAAGGATATAATGTTGCTTTTCTTCCAGAGAAGAGTGAAATGGGTTGACAGCAAAGAAATAAAAAACTCTTGATATTAGCTGAACCACTGGATTCTAAATAATCTCTCAGGGCAAATGTACCCTTCAAGTAAATATATATGTAAATATATATTGTTGTGTTTCCATTAAGGTAAGAATGCCAGCCACTGCCAACACCACTAATTTGCTATATACTTTCAGTAGCAACTTGCACTTTGGTTTGGTGGCTGAATTCCACTTCCTAACAATGATGGCTGGTCCATTAGGGCTAATGGGGCACTGTCCCACCAACTGCAGTCTGTTCTCAATGGTGGACCTATATTTTTGGAGCTTGAACTGTCACGGGGCCCCTTCGCAACAGCATCAAGGTCTGTGTAACCACTGTTATCTTCTTCAGTGGGGTTGCTCCATGACAGATCACCACACCTTTACAACATCTGTGCTACTGACTCTCAAACTTTGGGCTTGTTGATATATATACAGTAACAAATAAACCAGATTGAGTTTGTGCCACTCAAATTGGGTTTGCTAGGCAATGTGGGCTAAAGTTGCTTCTGGGGTCCCTGCACAATTTGGATCCCTTATCTTCCAGACCAAATCCCAAAGAAGGAAAGCAGACTGTATAGTCCAGGAGGCCCCAAAGAGACTAATATCCAGTCTCCTAGATGGTGTACAAGTCACCTTGGAGCAATTTCTCCAGAAGTTCCACTAGCTGAACCTGTAATTAATATTAAATTGACTTTAAAATAAAACATATGTTATTACACAAAAGCTTTAGTTAATGAAAAAAATAATTATTTATTCTCAGTGAATTATGAATAATCAGATTATTTATAGTTGACTGCCTTCAAAGTAAGGGGGGGGAGCAATATTACACATTACTGGTCTTTCCTCCAAAAGCCAGCAGTTTTGTCACACTTTCCCAGTGTAAAAGAAAATTTAGCAACCTGTGCTTCTCTTATAAATTAACTGTACATATAATGTGCCAGAAGGGTACCCTATCTATCTATCTATCTATCTATCTATTTATTTATTTATTTATTTATTTATTTATGGAAAGGGTGCCCCTTATACCACTTTGCTTCCAGTTTATCCATCCACACCATTTTTAGTTATAAAAGGATGAAATCCACATGGCATCTCTGCTCCATAAACCTCACTGGTTTATGGAGCAGAGTTATTTAAGAGCAGCACCTTTTCTTTCTGCAGTACTGTTTCCATTAGCAAGGTTGTTTACAAAGACTCTCCTCCTGCAAAGAGGGGAGGGGTTGTGGGCGGGAGCCGATCTCCGCCTCAAGCAGGGGGTGTTAGCCCCCTGCCACCCACTCACCTGGCTGGCGCACCACACCCATGGGCAAGCGCCCAACCAGGTGGCTTGAGGGGGCATGGACAGCAGCTTAACTTGCTGCTGTGCCAGCCACGCGGCCTCACTTTTCGCCGTCCCGTCGCGAGTCTTTTCTTTCTTTCTGCAGTACCGTTTCCATTAGCAAGGTTGTTTACAACTTGACTGGAGACCAATTAGGAACATCTTAAAGACTCCAATTGGTGTCAAGCTGGTTTGATAATCAACATATTAAACAGTAACAACAACATGATGCATATGCATTTTGGATACTGTTGTGTAACCACAGATCAAAAACCCAGCACTGGAAACACAGTGAGTGCATAATAATTGCCAGTGTGACCATAGCTTGAACTGGACATTATGCCCACTAGTTGCATATTAAAGGTACAGGTGAAAAACTGTCCACTGACTATCAAAGTAGGCTCACATTGTGTCCAAATCATCTCAGAGTGCTTTCACAACACACTCTCCATTGTGCTGATCCTGACCAGTTCGCAAATTAGTAGGAAGCTAATGGGAAAGAATGGGACGCGGGTGGCGCTGTGGGTTAAAGCCTCAGCGCCTAGGACTTGCCGATCGAAAGGTCGGTGGTTCGAATCCCCGCGGCGGGGTGCGCTCCCGTTGCTCAGTCCCAGCACCTGCCAACCTAGCAGTTCGAAAGCACCCCCGGGTGCAAGTAGATAAAAAGGGACCGCTTACTAGCGGGAAGGTAAACGGCGTTCCGTGTGCTGCGCTGGCTCGCCAGATGCAGCTTGTCACGCTGGCCACGTGACCCGGAAGTGTCTGCGGACAGCGCTGGCCCCCGGCCTATAGAGTGAGATGGGCGCACAACCCTAGAGTCTGGCAACACTGGCCCGTACGGGCAGGGGTACCTTTACCTTTACCTTTAATGGGAAAGATTACAAAAACCTCATCACACAGCACTTCATGCCAGCCAGGGTTCATTCGTTTGATCGAATGCACCGGAAAATACCCTCCTGTATACACGCCACCGCTTCGCCACATTATGGAGCCTTGGCTGAAATGGGACATGGAGGATGCTACTAGATCTGAAATATCAAAACTTTCAATAACTCAACAACTGGAAAGCTTAAAAAAATAATCTCCATAGGCAACTACTGAAGTAACAGAGCTGTGAAATCAATTAGATAAATTATGTATTATCTACCAAAGCCAATAATTCATTGTCACATCCTCACAGAGTAGCAACCAGTTAAGTATAACTACACTGATGCATTCCTATTTTGGGAAACAAGCAAGACAGAGAAAACTGCCTACATGAAATCACTTCCTTCTCATGGCTGAACTGGTCAACCCCTAAAATGAGATTTATCATGCCCTAACAAACTGAGACACAGAGAGATAATTTTCAGGTCCTGATATGAAGAGCTGCATCATACTGAAAGCTCTGCAGGTAATTGAGATTCCCATTTCTGACTATAATTTTTATACTTCAGATATATTTCTGTCAAGCAAATGTATGAGTGGAGATGTCTATTGGTTCTGCTTTGTTCAGTCTGCTTCCTCTCCTAAAAATAAAAAATCCCTCCCTAGCACTTGATTTGAATTGCCTTTTTAGAGCAGTTGGAGGTATCACATCTGATTAAAATACCCTGTAATGTTTCTGCCTGAGGTATGGAGGACATTTCCCTCCCTTTAGGTGTTCAATCCCAGGCCGCTCCATTCCTCACTGGATATGCCTTCTAACATGCAAATAGGGAAGTTTTCTTACAAATGGGTATTGGGCATTGTCATTCAAAGTGTGCATAAATACGAAACCATAAAGAAGAAAAGAACATTTGTACTTCAAACTCTATAATCAAAGGAAATACAAACCAATGAAAACTAAAAGGCAAGTAAGAACATTGCTGTTAACTGGATTGGACACTTTTTAAAAATAATCACATTTTCAAACTGGCGACCAAACACTGGAATGCTAGACCCCAAAAAATAAATGAAATAAAAATCAATGTTCTACTCCCCATCTCTTATGTTAAACATCGTATCGGTTTGGAGATAGCTTCTTATAAAACTGTCCAGAGCTTGTTTTAAACCTGGTGCAAATGTCAGGTTTAGCTGAGATTATTTCAAAGTGAAACTAAATTTATCCGAAATTCTCCTCCTAGCTACATCCTAGCCCAACAATTCACTCAGGCTTGTTGGGTTCATCCAGATGATACAACAGGCAGGCAACATGTCAACTAGGGACTCAGCTACACAGCTGCAAACAAAATGTTTTAAATGTGCTATAATGTGCAATATACAAATGTTACACTATGAAAAATTCAATGTATTTTTCAAAACTTTTTTAAAAGCATTTTTACTATGTGTGTAGATTCCTCCTATGACATGTTGACCTGCTGAACACAAAGTTCTGAATCGTCATATTCATTAGACAGAGGGAATTAAGGCCTCATAAACAACATTAACTGATGAAAAATCAACAGACACCTGAATCATTAATTATTTTTTCCAGAAATTGTCACACATTGAACTGGAAGTGTCCTTGCACTGTGAGTCTTACTAGTATTAAAAATAAAACTCTTCCATTCTGCAAAATAGGAATCCTGTTTTCCTCGCCCCTTGATGACACCGATTTGACACATATAGTACACATCTCCACTGGCAATTTCCCAAAGTTTGCTGAACCAGAGAGGTATAGTAGGAGCTTTATTGCTCTTCTTCTGGATATTATGCTCATAGACTAATATCTATGCCTAAACCTGCCTCTGACTAACTATCATTCCCATGCTGTCTTTTGTTAATACAGATACACAGTATATGTTTAAAACCAGGTGCCTTGACTCATCTGCCATGCTAAAAACCAACGCCTCAAAAGGCATGAGACCTCTAGGGTCTTGCTCCAGATCTGATGGATATTAAGCCAGTTGACTTGGACATTTAATCTCTCAGTTGTTCATCTGTAGGTGGGATTAATCAGAATTGCCATACTTTTCATGTGATAGATGAATGCATTAAGGAGTTATGCAGGAAGGAAAGTTAGTGGAAAGTTTGTGTCCACAGAGGAACATCCACTGATTGTGACAGTTCTATCTTCACTCAGGGCTTGTCTATTGCCTGCTATCGGATAAATTAATTGACACAACTAAAAAGCTTCATAACTCAGAATATTTAAAACTGTTTTAGAATGTTTTTCATTTATTTATTTCATAAAATTTCTACACCCCTTGATTGTAAAAACAAACACACACCTTCAAAGTAGTTTACACACAAACGAAAAAGCTTTTGCTTGGTTTTTGCTTTTAAATTGTTTATCTGTTTGCTGTCCTGGGCTACTTTGAAAGGAAATGTGGGCTATAAATTCAATAAACAAAAATTCAATAACTAATAATAGTTCCCCCCCCCCCAGATGTGGAATTCACCAACATCATGAATTGTCCTTTTGTATAGTAAATCACAATGAAGTCTGGTCTGTTTATTCTGAAAAAATAACATTGCTAATAGAAGCCTGCCATTTCCCAAGTACATTTTAAGCACATGCACGCACACACACACACACGCGCACACACACACACACACTGAACATCACCCTGATCATGTTTTAAACCCACTTTTTGAAACCCACCACCTAGGAGCTGCTTCACATCTGCTTTATCAAGACCATTCAAACTGCCAACA